TTATTTTTTAATTCAATTGTTATTTTGAGTATACTGGGTTTCCCTAGGGCTTTGTTATGTTAGAAAATGTTTTACTTTATTTAATTTTATACAAATTTGCCAAATATAATTTTTATTTTACTCAAATAGTTTTAAAGTTACAAGAGATATGATGAATAAGTGCACATTTATTTGGAATTTTTTAGTTGCAATTTTATCTTGAAAAATGTCTTAGTTTATTTAATTTTGGCCAAAATCGCTAAATATAGATCTTATTTTACTTCACTATTTTTAAAGATACAAATGATATAAGAAATAAGCACATTTATAAATTCTTGACATTTTTTAATTACCAAATTATCAATTTTTAAATCAGTAGCTAATTACACTGACCATGAAATGAATCATAATTTCGAAACTTTTGTAACTTTAGTTTCATTCATTAATAATTTTTAAATGAACAGACAAAATCCACAAACAATATAGGAGTTAATGATGAATTAATATTTCTTGAAGAAAATTCCTTCAAAATAAATTTTGGGATAAGAATTGAAGTTGTATTTTGGAACTAGCTAACTACTTTTTAAAAAATTATATTTTTTTTAATTCTATCTATATATTGTTTGAATTATCTTATACAAAATGTTTATCAAAATTAGATCAGTATATATACTAATTACAGCTCTTTGTCTACTTGATTTAAATCGTGAAAGAATTCATATGTTAATATTTGAAGTGAATTAAATTTTTTATATATGTATATATATATATATATATATATATATATATATATTATACATAAAAATTTAATTGGTTTAATTAGCAAGAAGGAATAAAGATTTTAATAAAACCAACGGAGCTTAAAAATAACTCGAAATTACTTGAGGGTAAATTAATTAGGAATTATCAGCACTATACGTGCATATATAAATTTATATATATATATATATATATATATATATATATAAATTATCTTTACCAAATGCGCAATAGATTTTGTAAATATTTCCCAAAAACTTTAAAAATAAGATAAATTTTAATCTTGGCGAAATTAAGGCCATTTATGTGCGTAAAATATTATCGTTGCATTTTGGCGATAAAAAAATTTATATAATCAAAAATTGTTAATAATTAAATTTCTAAATGAGGAAAAGTAGAACGAATGTGGAGATAGTGTTTGTTGGGTGATAGTAATTTTTTCATTTTTGGGTTATTATTTTTGTTGAAACAAGAGCCAAGGATACCATTTTGATATCACTAATTATATTTAAATTTTTTGATTTGTAAACTTATGCACTGAAAATGAATCAAATAAAACCTCGAAACGTATATAAAATTATCAAAAAAAATATTTAGGTACAACTTCATTTTTTGCTTTTAACAATTCTGCAGGTTTTTTGTTTGTTTAAAAATTATATATTATTGAATTATTATATACCTTTTATTATCTGATTTATATTCGTTTTAAATTAAATTACTTCTTTGAATTAAGTTAAATACTTATTATAATTGTTTAAATTTTATTTATTAAAAAAAGTTCATAATTAGTATATAGTTTAACAAACCGGTACGGTGATTTGTACACAACTAGAGCGAGGCCTCATTCAGGGTTAAGTGCTAATTTGGCGTACCGGTTTTAGGGACAAATAAAAAATAAATACAATTATTATGAACAGTTATATATATATATATATATATATATATATATATTATAATTAATTTATATACACATATATGCATAAATTCATATATAAATCAATTACTCTTACATCAAGTGCCATCGAGTACGACTTCTTGAGTATGTATTGATAGTCCCACACTAATTTAATAAATGATGATGATTATTATTATAATGATCATTATGTCATTATTTGAGTAGAGTAGAATGGTGTGAGTGGTGAGAGGATTTTGGAATTGCTAGAATCGTGATCGTAAACAAGTTTTTATTGATTTATTTAGCAACTACATACTTTGCAGATTTGACCTACAGACAAATTCATTATCAAAGTTTAATGCACTTGCATACTAATGGGAAGAGATAGATTGATGTATGTAATATATATGTTAGCATATGTCTCTTTTGTCGTTTGTAGGAGTGCTGCAAGTAATAAAATAAAGTAAAATTGGTACTAGAACGCGATTTTTTGGTTAGGAAATTTATAAAAAACACACATGGGTGGAGAAGTTTGGATATTTCAATTCTAAGAGTTAAGGATGTCGCCACAGTAGAACCTACTTACATGGATTATATAAATCAAGATATTGAATTCTGGTGAAAAACTAAGGCCGATGCTTAAGATTATAACTCTACCTGGATGATCAAAAAGACTGTACTTACGAGCAAACTGAACTTCTACATAAAAATAGAAAAAAAAAACTATTGACCAGCAATTAAATTTCGATCTGGAGGATAGCAAAAGGACTCTACTGATGAGTAGACAAGAAAGTAAAAAAAAAGGACTAAACTGACCAAAATCTTAAATATCTAAATGATTGCAAAAAGACTATAGAAGCTCGTCATGAAGAGAGAAGGATAATTTTCCTAGATTAAAAGATAGGACTCTACTGACGAGCAAAATTATAAAACCTTGAAGATAGAGAGAAAACTGTGCTGAGAAGATAACTAAAAATTTAGATAAAAAAGAAGACACTGGCTATATCATGTAAAAACTCTACTGACGAGCAAACTACAAATCAAAATATAAAAATAGAGGCTGAAGAACAAATTGCTAGCAACCTAAATTGTAATAATAGGGCTCTACTGACGAGCAAATTAATAAGTCTCGAAGAGAAGAAGAAGTCTCTACTGACAAGAAAACTTAATCTCAAAATAAAATAAACTAGCTGTAAGTGGAATTCTGTCTTGAGGCAATTATGGCATCGTGCCTTAGGCAAATTGCTGGAACTTCCCGCACCGTAACGAAATGTTCGAGGAATACTGAATGTTTCAAATAGATTATTATAAATATTGTAACATGTGTAATATTTATAAGAGTTATATAAACCGAATTGCAGAGTTGAAATTATTTCTAAAGTATATTAGAACTATAGTCCAGAATAAAAATAAAATCTGAAATATTTCGATGTACAAATATACTAAAAAAAAAAAAAAAAAAAAAAAAAAAAAAAAAAAAAAAAAAAAAAAGAAATCCAAAATCAATTATTGTTTTAAGACAAGCAGAAAGTTCTTTGAATCACTTAAATCGGACGCTAGTAGTTCTCTCAAAAACTGCCATTTTTTACAATTTAGCTCCGTATCTTCGAAATGGCTGGGCCTGCCTTTGCCAAAAAAACTACTAAACACTTCTCCCAATCATTACTAATTGAATGTTTTTTAGATCATTTCAAATCGGATACTCCGTTCGCTCAAAATTCGATTTTCTATTTTCTGCACTTTTTGCTCCGTATCTCCGAAACGGCTGGACCTGCCTTTGCCAAAAACTAATCAGCTCTTTTCCAAATCAATAGGAATCGAATGTTTTTTGAACCATTCAAATCGGTTGATCCGTGCGCCCTAAAACGTGACTGGAAATTTGTATCCACACATACATACACACACACACACACAACACACACACACATCCATTTTTCTGAGGTATGCCAAAACGTCAGAAACCTTCAAAACGTCGAGAAATGTAAAATTTTCAATTCCGATTTTCGGCCCATTTTACAATAACTTACCCTACGGAAGTTAAAAAGGGTATTTTATTTATGTGCAAATATATATATTTTAGCACTCATATTTTGGGCAATGTAAGGATTCGGGACATTTTTTCACATTTATATAAATTACATGAAAATTTACTTCCAGCCAATCTCTTCTAGTTAGCATAGCAGAAAATAGATAAAATTTATGACTATATATGT